ATGGAAGAACAACAACAGAAAAAACATCTAGGCTATCAGTAGCTCCTTTAAGCTTCTAAATTCTTATAATGTTAATCAGTAGCTAACATTATAACATTTAAGGGTAGAAGCTTCAAAAAGTCATGGGAAATGAATTTAAACAAAAATAGAATTTTTTCACAAACGTTTGAAGTATTCTCATATATGCTTTGTAGCATCATCACAAACGTAATGCTAAAAAGAGAATTATCCAAAAGAGAAAGTAAAAATGCTTCTCGGCAGCTAGTGGCTTTTCAGAGGTCTTAACCCTGACTTCTTAGTTCATCAGTGGTTATAAATGGAGGGACATTGTAGTTATGTGTTCCGATGATATGAATTCAGTGCTTTCCTATTGTCATTACTAAGTCCCCTCGCATTGGCCCCACACACACGGTGGAAAAAACACTCAAAGATCCTGCACTGTCCTCGTGATCAGATCACTGTGATCTGTTTACATTCGTGTGCCAACTTGGGTGGGCCATTGTTCTCATTGGTTTGGCAGTTATGATTAGTTTGGCAGTCATGTAATGATGTACTTATCTCCCAAGAAACAAACCTAGCCTCCCTCATGGAAGGTAAGAATTCTACCATTGAGCTACCACCATCCCATGAACTAAATTTAAAGAACCTGAATTCTAGATCCAATTATGTTATCTGATGGGCAAGCTACTTACATTTTCTAAGTTTTCACTTTCTCATCTAATAATACAGCTATCATACTAATTATTATAATCATATGTACCTCACATAACTACTATCAAGCTCAGGGAAAGAATCCATAAGAAAATGTTTGATCAACTAAAGAAAAGTACACAAGTGTGCTAATACAGTATTGCATCTCTTATCCTGTGAATTGTTGTGCTAGAGAGTATTTTCCACACAAATACAAGATTTCTTGCTAACACTTTCTTAAAGAATGGAAGGGTTAGTTCCTTTTGCACTCTAAGGCATCATTGCCTGAGTAAGGCATGAGCTATGTACTCAGTCCTCAACCAGAAATCTCCAGCAATTGCCATTTCTGATATTTCAAAGAAATACTGGTCTGATGGTCTAAATGAGATCCTGGGAAGCTTTAAATCACCCAGATGTTTTGAAAGGGCACAGCTGATACTGAAAAAGAAAGAGACTTCCAGTGATTGAGGTGACAAGATTGAATAAACCTGAAAAGAAAAGAGAATAACTTTTCTTCTAAACTTAAAAGGGTTCAAAAGTCTACCCCCATGGCAAATCATAGGTATTCAAAATATTAAATGTTCTGTTGTATTTGAGAGTGAAGATCATTATGTAAGGTAATTGAGTACCTCAAAAGGATTTTAGAGAAAATTAAGCAAGTCTGATGTTGTCCTTGGGATCATTAGAGATCAGAATAATTCTAGAAGTCAAATCTATGGACTTATAGGAGGAGCCCTGGTGGTGTAATGGTTACGCATTGGGTTGCAATCTGCATGGTTGGCAGCTCCTATGGAGCGAGACTGGGCTTTCTACTCCTGTAAACAGTTACAGTCTGGGAAATCCATGGGGGGTGGAGGTTGGGGGTGAGGCGGGGGTCGCTATAAATCAGTATTGATTCAATAGCAGTGAGTTTGATTTGGGGTTTATAGACTTGTAAAACCACAGTCAAAAGTAACAACTTTGAAAATCTTAAGAAAAAATATGCCAAAATAGATGAACATGCCAGTATGTTCTTGGTTCCATTTCTCCATTATCTCACCTGTCCCCATCCCTTAGTCAAATGATCCAGGGATGCTGTGTAATGTCATGAGAAGAACATGGTTTACACTTCAACATACATTGATCCAAATTAGTTTCAATGTCAATTGGCAAGCTTTTCCTAGCCTGTGTTTCCTCACATGTAAATTATGGGTGCTACTTCTGCTTCAAAGTTCTCTTAAGTAAATGGAATGGGATAATATAGGTAAAATTATTTGGCCTGAATTCCTCAGTAAAAATTGGCTTTTTTAGCACATTTACTCAATTCTAACCTTTTTCTAATCCTCAGTACATGACAATATGCCAGTAGTGGCATGGTACTCCACTAGCTTCGAGTCCTTGGTTGGCACAAATGGTTAGTGCTTGTCTGCTAACCAAAAGCCTAGCAGTTCAAATCTATCAGCAAAACTTCAGAAGAAATGTCTGTCGATCTTCTTCTGAAAGATCACAACCATAGAAAATCTTATGGACCACAATTCTACTCTGACACACCTGGGGTCACCAGGATTCAAAATCGACTCAATGGCAACTCATAAGAGTGGGGAGGGGGGGGCAGGGCGGGGATGGATTCCATTGGCAATTAATGCTCTTAATTTAAAGAGGGTTTTGTTTTTGTTTGTTGAGCAAAGTGGGACTGAGACTACACCAGAAAACCCTCAAAATATCATGAAACAAAGCTCTCCCTCTACCACAAGCCTATGGATGCTATTAATATAGTCTTCCTGTCATGGTAATGACTTTAGATGGTTTAAAGACACAGTGATGGCCTAGAAGGTCTTTCTTGTTCTCCTATGGGTCAGCTTTAAAGGCCCGCTATATTCTGGCTTGTCTCAGAAGCCACTGTGAGTCTGATGTTGATAAACTTGGCCAACACACTTTAATTCATTTATAATTCTCAGCAGGACTATCCCTTTTAAAAATAAGCTCCACAACTAAAGTGATTTCCAGAACAATATTAGCAGTAACAAATTTCATCAATTCAATCAAATATCATCAGCTCATCCTGCTGACTTTCAGGATAGTGTTAGACCTAACAAGTTAACCCTTGTTTCATATTTGATTCTTTTAGTTCTGTTGTTTTGAGATGTTAGGGTTGCTGCCTTCTATTTTCTATGCAATAATACCATCAAGAGCCAAAAGACATAAAAATGATATTATAGTCCAGATTGTGGGGAAATGAATATGAATAGTCAAGGGGAAAAATGAAAGACAAGAAGAAGGAGAAGGGCTAAGACTGCCAGGTATTATAAAAAGCCAGAGGGCACAAAATCTGAAAATCTCCCTATAGACTCCCTTCACCATCTCTTGATCTTATAGAAGATGAAAGCCCACCAGACAGCTTGGTACAAACGCATGAAAGAGGATGAGGCAAGTAAGCTGCTCCAGTTAGGAGGGCGCTCTGCTTTAGATTAAATGCTGTTGCTGTCGGTTCTAATCACAGAGCAAAAGCAATGGAGCAGAAGTACAAGTCTCATCTTATAATCAGTCTGCAAAGAAGGTGTCTTGATTGCTTGATATGAAATGTCATGATTCACACCACCAGCACGCATATTTGAGTATATGCCTTAATAGTGAATCTTAAGTCAACTTATTATTTCTGCTAAATATTCGTCACATTGAATCTCACTATGTAGAGTCAAAGACCCCGGGATAGTCTCTTGGGAGAGCCCTTAATGCTGCTTGCCACGTATTTCCAGTTCCAGGTAACGTTTCATGCTACCTGGTAGATTCGCACCCAGTGGTTGAGTGAGAGACTGTGACTCACCTTGAGTCACATGAGTTATAGAGGAAGTGGTATGTGTCTTTCTATCTCCGGTTGAACAGTTAACTTCCCCCGTGATGAGAACTGCTTCAGAACACCCTTGCCCTCAGCAGACAGAGCATCTTAAATGGTGGCTACTCTTGCACCCCGGGCCCATGAGTAATTCGAATGAGCAGAGAGGTTCTCTGCCAAACACATGGTATGGTTATCATATTTTAGTCCAACTTTTGTATCTCTCCTATTAGACTGAAGGGGAAGGGAAGATCTAAGTCACTTCGATATTCTTTATAAAGCTTACTGGCTGTTGTTGTGTGCTGTGGGCTCCCGCCCTTGGCAATCTTATAGGACCGAATAGATTGCCCTGTGGGGTTTCTAGACTGCAATCTTTACAATGCAGACCACCAGGTCTTTTCCTCCCATAGAACAGATAGTGGGCTCAAACTGCCTACCTCTAGATGCTTAAACTATTGTACAACTAAGGCTTCTTTCACAAAGCATAGTGTTTTCTACATACGTTTGCCATTAGTGTTGCCGCTCATCTTGTTTGGCCAAGGTCTGTAATTCAATAGTGCAGACAATAAAAATGCAACACTACTTTATAAAGTAATCATATCTTTTTTCATATTTTACAAAATATAACCTGCTCTTAATGAATGATTCTTTCTATGCAAAATAATAACTTAACATTTTTGTCTCTGAAAACCAAGTACTTTCCTCTCAGGCAGAAAACATGTGGGTGTTCCAGTGTAATGCAGAGGAAGCTGAAGAGACAAACTTTTATCATGTGGGTGAAATTTCCACTCTGACTCTACCTGCAAATTACTTTTCCATATTAGTGAAAGACTTACCCATAGTCCAGTTCCTCAGGATCATGGCAATGTCTACTCATTCAGCTACAGAGGAAGCGAGCTGGCAAAATGATAATAATACACATTTTATGTATCCAAGTTAAATAAATTAAAAATTCTATTATGGAAAAGGGAAAATGACTGCCCAAAATAATTATTTTTCACATCTATTGGTTCATTTTCCCTTAGTGGCTATTTTTGTTTTGACCAATGGTGTCTCTTTATGTTCTGCAATGAACCCTCTAAACTTGGACCTTACTTTCAAATAAATACAACTTCTTTATTCCCTTGTCTGCTTGTGTTTATTGGTTTATAACATTAATGGATCCAGCATCGCCTCGGGGGTTAATCTCTTCTAAACAGTTGGATTTGTTAAATGTATTCCTGGTAGCTTTAGCCGAACATTAGACTAAAACATCTTCAGTTAAGATACCCTTTCTGAAGTAATTTGTTGACATATTTGATTAGCTGTCTCCCACCCCAAATTTTCTATTATTTTAATAGCAGATGCAGGAACCTTTTATTTTCCCAAGCACTTTTTAATAATTCTATTACAGTTAGTCAACATTTGAAAACATCTTCTCCCAAAAGATTCTGGTGCTTATATTTCTCATGCCATCTTAAATATTTATTGTTAAAGGTTTTCCACAATTACTCATTTTTAGTTTGGTTTTTTTATGTCAGAAGTATATTTTTAAGCATATGATCAAAACCAAGTGAAACTAAGTTTCCAATGTGAATTATTACTCCATATCTTTTCAAATTTTTCCTGTAGTGATAATTAAAACCAATGATTGTGAAAACATTCTACCCTCAAGTTCTCCTTATTATAAATCTGCCAAAGGGTAAGCAAATGCTACTTCAAAATCCCCCCTTCTTTCTCTGCCACCGAGGAAGTAGAAGCCCATTTTATTTTTCAATTACAAGGTTTTAATTTTAACTTGGATACATAAAATAAGAGTATTAAGAAACTTTCCTTCTCCCTGCATTTTGAAATTTTAATTAAAATGTCTCAGCTGATCTATCTGCTAATGATTATTTGGACAATGATGCAGAGAATCCTTTTTCTCAAAGGAACGAGCACCTTCTAAGCCAAGAACAGCTTTGGGTCCAGATGTTACTGTTGTTCGTTCTCACCATTAATCACCAAACATTGCAGTAGGACCCACCATGGATATTATTCAAACAGAGACTCAATTAAATTCAGAGGCAGTCCATTTAATCTTCATCAGCTCAAACAATGGCAACTTCATTTTTCTCCGCTGAATGTTGAGTCAGAGAGCAGAAACTTCAGAGATTTTCATTTCACTCAATATTGTTATAAAGTAACCGGATTTACAGTTTGACTTTGGACAAAAGGAGAACCACCTGACTTTACTGGAAGCCATTTCTACAGGCAAGAAGGTGCATCCTGCACCAGTAAGCACAAGCTGTAGTCATTTTGTGATCAAAAGAAGAAAGCAGGGAGGGGGGAAAGGCTCATTTGCTCTAAAAACTGTTACAATAACTTAAGAAAGAAATTAAATCTTCTGTTCGAACTCTGTAGGGTGAAGATGGATGTGGGGTGAGAAAGGAGGCAGGGAACCTAGAATGGAAAAGGAAAGGTGACCACCTCTAAGGCTTACATTACTAACCAAAGGGGAAAAGAGCTCCTCAGAGGAGTCCTGTGGGCATGATGAATGGGGCATCTATAATTAAGGGCAGCATCAAACAACAAGAGACCTTTCTTACTGTGGTCATGACATTGACATTTTTTAAGGTGGCGTGAATGCAGACAGAGTGCCAACTAGATATCATTACCCATTCATTGGAATCAGGGCTGCTTATTCCAAGGGTCTTAAGTGGGATCATAAAATCATCCTCTCCTAATACTGAGCTAAGTTCAAGGCAGTAGAAAGCCTTCTGGCAGGAGCATCCTATAGATTGTGGGAAGAAAAGGAAAATCTGATGCCAATGCCAGGTACTAGTGTTTTCCTTCAAGCCCAGTCCTAAATCAACCAGACCCTAGCAACATTAGATAAGTGATCCTATTCATAACAGCAACAACAATAATAATGACCAACACATATGTATATTAACACATGTATTAACACTTAGGCATGTGTGCTTAATCATGCTCATGGAAAACCATCATATAGTCCAAAAGGCTGTTCTTGAAGCGGAACAAGAGGATGCTGAGTGGCTCAAATTGAAGGAAAATTCAGGTCTGTCAGAATTGTGTCTTTTCATAATACTTATCAATGTGTATTCTACGGAAGCACTCTGAGAGGCTGAGCTATATGAAGAAGAATATGGCATCAGGATTGAAGGAAGGCTCATTAACAACCTGAAACATACAGATGACCAACCTTGCTTGCTTAAAGCAAAGAGTACTTGAAGCATTTACTGATAAAGCTTAAGTATGGATTATATCTACCTCAATGTAAACATAGAAAAAAAAAAAAACTCTTCCAACTGGACCAGCAAGCATTATGATAAACAGAGAAAAGATTGAAGCTGTCAAGGATTTCATTTGACTTGGATCCTGAGATAGTTAAAGTTTATTGTGCCAACCTGGCCGATGAACATATGTGCGGTTAACTGAAGGGCAGAGAGATAAATGGATCAGTGAGCCTCGCCTTTCTTGTTCTCAGGTCTCTTGGGGTCAGACCAGGGTGCAGCTGCCTTAGTTAGTTCCCTGATTCAGCTGGCAAGGCTTACTTCCTGCAAGACATCCCCAAGGAGAAGCTGCATGGACCTGCCCTAATGCAGCCCTGGGTGCTGGAGTAGCCGTGTGGAGACCCCTGCCAGTGCTGAGATGCTTACATGCTCACTGATTCAGTGTTCCTCCTGCAGTCAGCATCATTGCGTGTGTTTTATGAGATGGAGGAGGACTTTGTGGATTGGTGTTGGACATATGGGCTAATGTTGGACTTGTGGGCTTGGGCAGCACTAGGTTCCGATGTTTTCTTGATGTGCACTTAACCTTTATATAAAACTCTCTCTTATACATGAGTTTCTGTGGATTTGTTTCTCTAATGTATCCAGACTAACACACATCCATAATCAATGCTGGTGAAAGTAACAGTCAAGAAAGCAAATAACGTATGGCACTGGGAAAATTTGCTGCACAAGATCTCTTCACAGTGTTAAAAAGTAAAGACGGCACTATGAGGAGTAAGGTGCACATGACTCAAAATTAAAACTAAGACTCATGGCCATTCAATTGATTCTAATTTATAGCAATCCTATAGGACAGGGTAGAACTGCCCTTTGTGGGTTTTTGACATTGCAGCTCTTTATAAAACTAGAATGCCTCATCTTTCTCCACAGGGAAGCTAGTGGTTTTGAACCACTGATCTTGCAGTTAGCAGGCCAATGGCACCCATGATGCCATCAGGTCTCCTACACCACCAGGTCTCAATCCATGGTATTTTCAGTTGTTTCATATGCATACAAAAAATGGACCATGAGTAAGGAGAACCAGAAAAGAAATGACACATTTGAATTATAATATTAGTGAGAAATATTGAAAATGTCATGATTATCAGAAAGTAAAGGGGGGAAAAGAACAAATCTGTCTTGGAAGAAGTACAGTCAGAATGCTCTTTATAAGTGAGTATAAGACTTCATCTCACTTACTTTGAACATCTTAGCAGAAAGGACCAGAGCCCAAAAAAGGACATCGTGCTTGGTAAAGTTCGAGGGTCAGCAAAAAGAGAAAGACCACCTCTGGGATGGTTTGACACAGTGGCTGCAAAAATGAGCTTACAATAACAATGTTGAGCATGGCACCAGATCAAGCAGTGATTCATTCTGTTGCACCTAGGGTCTCAGTGAGGCAGAACCGACTTAAGGGCATTTAATAACAACAAATATGACAACAATGAGCCAGACTTTATCTCAACGGCACCTTCCAGACTTCCTCAGTTCTCACAGCACCACTAGAAGGGGGAACCATGATTATTCCCATTTCTCAAGTGATAAAACTAAGGCACAGAAAAGTTAGATAATGTGCCCAACATCACAGACCTAGGAAGTGACAGTCTGCATTCACACCCAGACTGTCTGGCTTCAGAAGTTCTGCTCTTGACCATTTCATCTACTGCTTCCCATTTTAGTGAGTACTATTCAGATGCTCATGAGCAAGACACAGTGTCTGTTTTCCAGAACTCTGTCCGTGTAGCAGAGATGAAACAAAGGCCATGCACCTACAGAAAAAGCCACATACACTGATTAGACAGCAGAAAGCCCTCATAATCTGGGAATTTATAATGTAGAAGTATCCCACAGCACTGGACTACCCAGTCTAACTTCCACCCATGTTCTTCTCTCCCCCCAGATGAGCCCCATTGCATAGAGGCCTTAATGCTGCATCTCTCTGACATGCGGATTAACTAACTGAACCTATTCCATCCATGTCTAGACTGCTCTGGACCAGCATGTGTTCTTAAACCAGCATGAGAGTACCTACTCAAACCAGCATGAGAGAACCTGTGTGTTCTCAAACCAGCATGAGAGTACCTACTCAAAATAAGCCTGAGCACACACATCATACTCTCCTGTTTAAAGTCCTTCACTGACTCCCATTGCTCTGAGAACAAGCACGCTTTAACATGATGGCAGGACCCTGCATGGCCTGCCTACCATCCTCACCAGGCTGATCTCACACTGCCATGCCTCCCTTACTCTATTGCAGTGGTTCTCAATCTTCCTAATGCCGTGACCCTTTAATTCAGTCCCTCATGTTGTGGTGATCCCCCAACCATAAAATTATTTTTGTTGCTACTTCATAACTGTAATTTTGCTACTGTTATGAATCGGGTGACCCCTGTGAAAGGGTTGTTCGACCCCCAAAGGGGTCGCAACCCACAGGTTGAGAACTGCTGCTCTATTGGATCAGAGTTTTGCCACACGGTGCCCACTACCCAGAGAATGATCCTAAAGGGTCATTCTCTTTCTTTTCTTTTTCAAAGAGGGGAAACCTACTATATCAGTAGTCACTTGATCTCCTAAGAAATCTCA